TCAAGGAAAGCCCTGAAAATCTTCGAAGATTATATAAAGTTAAGGTTCATGTTAATATACTGATAACTGTTTTACGTTTGTGCTGTTACTAATAATTGTGCTTTTGCAAAACCTTTGTGTACTACCAAATAATTAATTATTGATTATATTTTCCTATTTTCTGGACAAGTACCTAATTTACTAAGTGTTCAATATATTTTAATAACAATAATGCTCTTGAATTGCCAACAGCAGAAAAGTAATTAAAAGGAAATTAATTCAAAATTGAATAATGGGTCTCAAGGCTGATTCCCATACTTAATCTGGGTCCCTGCTGGAGAAGGTTTAGAAGCCCTGTTATAGGAATGTATAGCAGAGAAAGAGAAATGCTTCTTACACAGGGTTGTATATAAAGTATCTGGCTCAAGCTTCTTAGTCAGGTGGCTTAGTGCAAACATGGGGCTCTTTTAAGAAATGCTTCAATAGCATTTGAGATTTAGAAATTTCAGACTAAGCTCGTAAATCTCAAAACAAGCAAGACTGGTCAAAAGCCTTCCTGTTGTTTGCTACCTTCTTACGTTTCTATGCTCATTGTGGTAAAACAGTACTATTTGTAATAGTGATTTGTAAATCCAGTGGGGTGTATGAATACAGTTTCAGAATGGAGGTATAAAGAAGAAGAAATCCCATTAGCAAGTCTTGTTTACACCAACATAATTCACAAGTCTGATTGTATACTGTATCTGTAATGAAATTTGAAAATTTTTGAGTGCCCCTTGGTAACATTGAAAACATATAAGTATCCTCAAGTGGTTTTAGCTGAAGTGTACTGTTTCTTGTCACTTGGCAGTACATGAGATGTTTCAGTCTGCTGAGGTTGTTTTTGTTAGTAATTTCCATGTTTAGTTCTGTTTTTCATTTTTTTTTTGGTGCGTGTTAGGCACGTCATCTCAAGGTAGTGGATCAGAACAATAGCCTTTTCAGAAAGACGGTCATTTCTTTAAGTTGTTTACTACAGGAACACGGATAAATAGAATGAAGAAGAAGGCAATCTGTTTTTGAAAGGAAAACCTCTTTTGCTAAGCTGGGAGTAGGGGCTCTAAGGCAGACCTCTTGCTGTCTGAAACAGAAATGAACAGCTTATTACTGTGTGAAGAAAAACAGATGAAATGAGATTTGAGTAAGCTGATTGCAGATTAAATGCCAATTGACATCTAATTCATTTTTTCCTTCTCACATAAACAAAAAACCATCTGTCCTCATTTCTCAGTTATTATTTTTTTCCACTCTGTATTACTGTTGTTATTGACTTCCATACTGGCTTGGGTTTCAGTCTTTATGAACCTTTTGGGTTCTTAGAATATGGGTTATGGTGCCCTCTTAGATCTGCACGCTAATGGAAAACCTTAAAATTAGTTTTGCCCCTAGATCTGTGATATTTTAACCATAATAGCTGAACTTATCCCGTTCCAATGATGAGGTTCACTTCTGAGATAAGAAAGCTTGAAATTAAGACTATTAAAGAACTCTGCAGCCCAAGCAGGGTAACTAAGAAGACATCAGAAGCCCAAACTATGCTTAAAGTAGGATCACACCTTTCCACAGTTCTTAATTAAATCTTTCTAAATCTCCCCATTTATTTACCAGTTTAAGAATGTCACACCTCCTCTGGAAGTTGTCTCCTAGATATCCCTCATTTTAGGCCTCATTTCTCACCTTATCGATCTTACCCATTTTCAGATTCTTTCTTTTATCCTCTTTGCTCAGTTCTTTCCTTCACATTCCTGTTCATTTTCTCTCCTTTACACCTCATGTGGCTGCACAGCCAAAAGTTTTGGATCTGCTTTTCACAAGCTTAC